GCATGATTTATGCATATGAAAGCAAAGTCATCAGGTTTGATTTCCTTTGACCATTTCTTTGTTCTGAGTTTGTAATGTGCATACTGCATACAGTTCCTCGTTTAGTGATCAGTCCAGTCATTGACTTCCTTGCAGGATGGAAACTCCTTCTAAACAAGGAATGCCTGTATGTTTGGACTGAACAAATCTGAGGGTGCTTCCTTTTCATAATCTTAATTCATCTGTGTCCGTGGTTTCTGAGGTGTAGGAGTCTGACACTTTATCTTTTGAGATTCTGAGTGAACATTCTCTGTATGTATCTCAAATCTTAATAGATTAAGCAAAAGTAGAAATGAATTTTATTGGATTGACTTCTTCAGTCTTGTCCAGGTGACTTGGGGGACGGAGGAAAGGGATATGCAGACATTTTTTCCTAAAAAGTTACATTTTCTAAATAATCAGAAATTAATATTTTATCCATTCATGTAGACCTAATAAAAAGGAAGTGTTAGGGACACTGGATGCAATTTGAAATACATTTGTGAATGAACAATGCAGTGCTTTTATAGGAAACTACGCTTGCTCCTCCTATTAAAGTAGCACATGTTCTTTGAGGCTTTACAGTTGCTTTTTAATGGTGGACAAGTGTGGGTGGGTGAATTTGCACTGGCCTATTTCATTTTTACTGTTTGATCAGTGTCCTTGGCATGAGCTGGGGAACAGCCACCTTCAGCCTGCAGCCTCGGCCACACAGTATAGTGAAAGCCGAGGCCAAGGACTTCCTAACTTGTGAGGAATAAGGAGACTACACTCCAACAGCTCTTGCAGTTCAGATGGAATCCAATGTCCGCCTTAGGAGACCGGCAGGGCAGCACAGAGTTAACACAGAGGAAGGCACGGATAGGGTGGGGGGTTCAGGGCAGACTTTTCCTCTGTCCTGTCTTGATTCCAGCTTTGTGTCCTCTTCACCTCAGACATACTCTTCCCCTTCATCCTGTCTCCAGACTTTAGTACGATGGAAGATTTTCCCCACCTGTGAATGAATTAATTTGATGTATAATAGATAAAATGAAATGCCATTTATTAAATATATTGTTTACATTACTAGATTTTCCCCCAAAGGATTGAAATATAAACACCTGTGTTTTCATTTAAAATCATGCTATTCCAGTTAGCATTTGTCTGCACCAGCAAAGAGGAGCAGAAGGGGCCTGGAAAGCAGGGTGTGTGCCCTGTCATCTGCGGGTGTCCCTTCTGAGGCCATGCATCTCCTCAGGCAGGGCCACCCATACCCCCTGGATTCTTTCGGTTTCTGCAGTATTACCTATGTTTTTGTGAGCTGATTTTGCATTGGAGCAGGAGGAAAAAAATGACTGATTTAGAAAAGTGGACCGTGGAGTTCATGGCTCACCTCTGAAGCTTGTCCCACACTGTGAATTTGTGGTGGCGCCAATCTAAGTTAACTTTGATCCTGGGTGGAAGAGTGGCGTCTGTTTTTGAGGGTGGGAAGAAGGAAATCATCCCTGTGAACTCTTCCCAGCTTCTCTGTGAGACCTGGGGGCCCACTGGCTGGCTGCAGGAACAGGTCTGTCAGTCACAGTGGAAGTTTGGAGTCTGGGTTTCTGTTGCAGCTCTATCCGGGGCGGCCAGGAGCCTGGACCTCTGGGTCTAGGAAGGGTCTGCATGGGGCTGTGTGCTGGGAGGGCCACCGGCCAGAGCCCAACTGGCAGAGCTGGTGGATTTCAGGAGGTCTTGGGGGCTGTGTTTTGGGCAAATCATTCCCTTTTTGTAGACTAACCTGTTTGAAAAATGGTTTTAACATTATGAAGGTTTTTGCAAGATTTTGGGAATCAGGACCTATATTTTCCTTGTAGCTGAGCCTTACCTCTTGTTTTGTTCGGATTCCTTTCTGCCATTGAAAGCAGCAAAACTGCTTCACTAAATAGTAAAAAGTGGGTGGAGGATTTAGCTCAGTGGTTCAGTGGCCTGCCTTTCAAGCTCATAGGACCTGAGTTCAATCCCCAGTACCAAAAAAAAAAAAAAAACCAGTAAAAACTACCTTTTATGATCTAAAACTCTTCACTGGTGGTGTCATTTTCTGATTTTTTCATTTTAATAGAAGACCCTCTAGTTAACTTTTCTGTGTACTTTTAGTCTGAAATTCTGTAAAAAAAATACTGCCCTTTATTCTGCCAGTAAATATTTTGGAAAATTAATGTGATATGGGAAAATTATGAAATTAAAATTAAAATTTTCTGATCTCTGTTGCAGAAATACCCTAAATTCATCCCCTTGTGCTTCCTTGAAGGAAAAGAGGCAGTTGGTTAAAACTAAGCTGTAAAGAATAGTGAAGTATGCATTATAAATTATAGGGAAATGTGGCCTTCTGTCCTTATTTCAATGAACTGCTTTTGTAATAGTAATTTTCTCTCCTCTGCTGTGATGGATCGGAGGTTAATTGATGTTAAATGGATGCTTTGTTAATCCTTCATCAGCTACTAAATTGCTGTGGGGCGTGGAGGTCGGGGCCATGCGCTCAGGGGGTTTATGTCCCCACCCTCCAGCTGTGGGGGCCTTCCCGCCCCCGCCCTCCCCTCCCTGCCCTCTCACTGCTGCCGAGTGACAGCTTGTAGATGTTGTGTGCAAGAGTTCAGCTGGCTGTGTGGTCTGAGTGTGTGGTCTCCAGCGCAGCCCAGACTGCTCCAGGGATAGACGAGGGGAGCAGGGCTGTTTACTTTAATTTATTTCGGATGCCAGAGTTGTGCCCAGGGTTTCTCTGCAGCTGATTCCCAGCTCCAATCTCTTACAGCTGGTGCAGCCTGAACTCCAAGCAGTGCTTTCCATAGCATCTGCCGCCTAAGCCCTCATGGCTCAGAAACATTAATGGCGCCGCTGAGTGCTGTCATTATTTTGCTTCCACTATGCAAGACATATAGCCTTGTAGAAATTTCTTTTGAGGTAGAACCAGAGAAATAAAGCAGAAATTGTAAAATAAGTGACAAAGTGGGTGTATTTTTAGAAATTGGGAAAGGCCTTATATACAAAATTTAGATCAATCTAATCCAACTGTGCTCACATGAAGGAATTTGGGAGTTAGGTGACATCTGTCATGTTCAGCAGTTTTAATAAAATTAACCAGTTTAAGCTGACAGTTGATTCCTTGACTTTTTGGGGAAATCCACATGATTTTGGCATGTCTATTTACTGTGGTTATTACATTTGTCAACAGTGATACTGGCTTATTTCATTGTAAAGATCTGACAGGTTACATAAGTGAAACTTTGTTTTTATGTCATAGTATAAATTAGGACAGTGTCTTTCCCCTCATTCTTTCATTATGAGTAGCCTGGTAGTATTTTCTTGCTGTGCCCCTGCCTCATCCCTGAACCTTTTTGTTGAGACAGTAATTATCATTATTGGAGCCTTTCGTGTCTCGGTGTGATCGTGTCTGGCTCCCTCACTTTGGACAGGCTTACTCACCTGGAGTTGTGCTGTGAGTACCTTCTCCAGGGGTCAGTAAGTGTGGCTTATCACTGTTCTGTTGCTTTGGGGGCTACTTTTAGTAGTACCCGACTTCTCACCTCATGTGCCTGATAGTGAACAGGACCTGCTGTTACCCAGGAGACCCCAGGAGAAGAGACTGTGCCAGGTACTCTGATCCATGAGCACCCAGTCCTTCCTGTGGCAGGGTCTGTGCTTCCTTGGGTCAGTGGGCCCTGTGGGATTGTTCAGGGTTCGGTGTCTGAGGGTCCTGGCTATCACCACGGTGCTACAAACGCGTCTCTTTAAAGAGCAGCATGTGTGACCCATTACAAAACCAAGGAATGGCTCTGTCATGCAGGGGAGCAGACCTAGCTGGGTGGTGGGCACTCAGGGACTGTCTCCTGGTTCCTCAGAGTGGGAGTTCTCTGGGCTATGCAGACTGCGCTGTTCAGTAGGTGGCAGCACTGGGCTGGGTCAGATGTTGGGAGTGCAGAACAGTGGCAGCCCTCCTGTGCCCTGGAGTACTCTCCCGGAGCTGGCACAGTGGCGCTCATTCCTCCCATTTTCTCTGCTGCAGGGAGGGTTTCTGCTGTCAGAGTCCGCATCCCTTGATGCATACTTGCAGAGTTACCTCTTGATGTTCCTAAGAAGCTACTACTGCCTGAGGCCTTACCGGAGAAGGCTGCAGCACACAGCGCTCAGGAGTTGGAGTTCATGTGCACCGTCAGCCTGTGCATGACCAGACAGCTGCCCTGTGCTCCTTGCCACAGGGAAGGCATTGTGATGCGCACCTAAGATGCATCTTCCCCGCCACCCTCCCTGGGCACAGCAACTCGCTCCTTCTTCCCCTAGGCGCGCGCGCGTGTGTGTGTGTGAAGTAGCTCCATTCTGTTGTTCCTTTTAAAAAAAGTTTAAACAGGAGCCCTAGCTGGACCCTGATCAAACACATTTTTAAGGCCTTGTGCTTGGGTTGGGTACTGAGTCCTTTGTAGACAAAACTGAAGCAACTGGGGTGGAAGGAAGTGACAGCTGGCACGGTGCCAGAGCCAGGTGATCTGCTGGCCCAGTTTATTATGTTTGACATCTCCATAGGAGATAGTTGAATGGGCAGAATGAGGATAGCATAGTCTTAGGGCCTGGCTTTGAATCCCAACTCTGACTCTGGCTGTTACTTTTTCTCTTTTTGTTTTTGTGGTACTGGGGACTGAACTACAGTCACTGAGCACTGAGCTACGTCTTCAGCCTTTGTGTTTTATTCTGACAGTCTTGTGAATTTGCTGACTTGCCCAAGCTGGGGTTAATTGCAGCCTTTCTGCAATTTCAGAGTGCCGGGATTACAGGTGTGTGCCACCATGCCTGGCTTAGCTGTGGCTTTGTTAAAGATGATGGAGATGATGCCTCGGAGTGTTGCTCAGGCTGGCTGCAGACTCGTGGGCTGAAAAGATCCTCATGACAGCCTCGGAGTTACTGGGACTACAGTTCATACCAGTGTGACACACGGCGGCCTGCAAAGTCCCTGGTGATAAAGCTACAGCCCTGTGGACTCTTTACTTCCTGGAGCTTCTCGTCCAACATCTGAATGGGGCGGAGTCCCTTGATGCTTTTTGCATGTTCTCTGATCTTGCCTGGTTTGTACCGCGTGTCCCTCCTGGTGTGGTTTTCCCTTCACATTAAGCTTGAGCCATTTGATCCTTGTCTATGCTTCCTTCCCTTCTACCCATTGCTGTAACGCATTTCCGGTTATTGAGAACCCTCGGGCCTAATGTAGTTCTTGCTCCCTTTTCCAGAGCACCTCTGTTGGTGTGGAGTGCGCCCAGGCTGACCCGGCGCCCCTGCACTTGTGTCCTACCCTTGCGTCCTGCCCAGCGTGAGCTCCACTCAGTCTCCCTTGGGTGTGTTTTCCGCGTGCGTTTGTCCATTGCATCTCCTAGGTTGAGAGCTGTCTGCTCAGTTTTTCTTCTGAGTTTTTTGTTTGGTCGAGGCTCTTGTGCTTTGTGGATCTTTGTGAGCTGTTTATATGTTTAAAAGCTGCTTGTAGTTTGCCGTTCTATTTCTCAGGCTTCCTCTTGGCATTCTGAGCCAGATTGTACCCCGCAGAAATGTGCTCCTCTTTCTGGCGAGAGATGAGTGTGTTCACCATGGTGATCTTTGGTTCTCCCATCCCAGGGGCTGGAATGGACATTTACTTCCTGTCTTTCTAGGGCTTTTTGGTTTAATTAAAATTATATTGTATTTGACTTTTAATAACCAGGAATTCTTTAGCTCTGTAGATGTTGAACTAATGTAAGCAAGAAAAGTATGCTTTGGTTGGTTACAGAAGCATTTCTGAAGTTAACACACACAAAATATGAGGCAAGGAAAGAAAGCAGTTGTTTGTTTAGAATGATGCCAGCTCACTCTGGCTGTGCTGCTGCCTCTTCTGTTCTGGATTCAGGTTTCCCATTGTGTGAAGTGCAGTGCTGTGATTTGCAGGAAGCAGTTTGCCCGTTCGCTGTAGAGCCTGGCAGTAGCTGGCGTGGCCCCTTGGCTTAGGGATAGTGGAAACCGAACAGAGGCGTTCAGCACACATTTACAGGGAAGGGCCCCTCCCTGGGCCCTGGCGCTGGGGCTTGAATCCGGGGCTTTTTCAGTGAGCTACGTCCTCAGCTTTTTTTTATTTTTAAATTTGAGACAGGATCTCACTAAACCATTAAGTTGCCCAGGGTGGGCTGAACCTGCATCCTCCTCCCTGAGCCTCCCAGAGTGCGGGATTACACACGTGCACCCCCATGCCTGACAGGAAAGGGTTTAACTGAAAAATAAGAAAATAGAGGGGAGCACAGCTCTGCTAGGGATGGATCTGGTTGGCTTCTCATAATACAGGAAAGTAAGAAAAGATAGGAAAAGTCTTCAGCTGGAGAAACCAGTTGAAGGAGGCTGGGCTGGGAAAGGAGGCTCAGGCTGCCCATCCCTCAGAGGACAGCGCTCTAGGGGTGGCTGCCTGTACTTGGCTCCACCATCACGGGTCCAGGCCACGTGGCCCTGTAGGGAGCCCCATTGGCGTTGAGGGCTCTCACTTGTGGAGAGAGCTGGGGCGGGCACAGCTGGCCTGTGGCCCTCACACCCAGAGTGGGTCAGCCTTAATGCCAGCAACACACCCCTGACCCAGCAGCACACACCCTAGATCCTGCCAGCTCTGAAAAGCCCCACCCATGCCACAGGAAGGGTGGGGGACATCGAGAGACACAGCCACGCTACCCAGAGAGTTCAGTACCTTTCTCTCTAATTCTCTGCTTAGCGAGAGAAGCCGGTGTGCTGGGAGGGTGGTGCTGGTGCTCCCAGTGCTCCTCATGGCAGGCGGGTCTGTCTGTCTGGCCAGCTGGCAGCCTCTGTGGGGCCCTGGATGCCAGCAGCATCACTCACTGCGCTCCAGTGTGCAGAAGAGCTGCTCAGGGAGCTGAGTACTTCTGGGAAACGGTTCTTGTTTGATGCCCTCTTCACACATGAAGAAACCATGAATGGCGTGGTGCGTGTTGTGGGGGGGCAGAATTACACCTGCCCATGCCATCTGACTTGGATCAAGCCCTGATGTGATAGGTGCTAGCCACAGGGCACCAGCTCCTCACAGGGGTGTGATGAGGGTTAGAACTCAGAACCTGGGATAACTAGAGAAGTGCTAGAAGTGCTCACTGTAAATAACTGGCCCTCAGAAGTGCTCTTATCATTATTGTTAATTTATGTTAACTTAGGGCTAAGATGGTCATCTATCAATGTAATGGTTAGTTATTTCCTTCTCTGATGTTATTTGTATTGCTTCTTATTTCTGTTGAATTTTTTTGTTTTTGATTTTGGTGCAGTGTTGGGATTGAACTCTTATATGCTGAGTGCCCTGCCAATGAGCTACACTGCCAACCCCTGAAGGCACTTTCAGTAAAGGCATCAGCCATGTGGATTCCCATGGCAATTCCTCAGATCCTACCTGTGCAGTACACACAGAAGCTTTAACCCGCTCACAGCGGAGTGGGGCCTATGTACTGGTCCCAGGGGGAGTTGCTGGCGCTAGGACCCCCTATCCTTTTTTGTAAAGTCTCGAGTTCAGAATTGATGGTTAGAATGGTGCTCATTTCTTCCAGAATGGACAAAGCACCTCTTCCTGCATTCTAGGAGGGTCAAATCAGGTACATTGCATCCCCTATTCTCTGTCACGAGTTTGCCTTGGATAAATGACCATCAGCACTATACTGGGGCCAGATTCCCAAGGTACTGAAGGGTGAGAATTTATAAATACTATAATACTAATTTGGTTTGCAAACAAAAGCGTTAAGTAAAGATTTGTTTCTGTTCCCAAACTCTGCATCAAGTCACAAGCATGGCCAGGGCTGTCTTCCCCACAAACACAGACGCAGCTGTCTTCCCCAAAATTGTAAAACAAATTAAGTTCATAAACTGAGGTACCACTGTATATTTTGCTTTCTTCTTCCTGACTCTCCTGATGCTAGCCTTGAGACCCTCTTTGTTTGGTGTGCAGGTCTAGTGTATGGTGGGCCAGAACAGCAGGAGGCAAATACTATTTCGAAGATAGTGGATCACTCGCAATTCCCAAGAGGAGGGGCTGCTGAGCACTAGGGGCTCCCCAGGAAGTTCCAGCATCCTCAGGCAGAGAGAGCCAGTTGGGAGAAGGCCAGATGCTCTGCTGGAGCAACTGGACACTCCAGGCCAGCCAAGCAGGCTTAGGATTAATAGTGTGTAGTTTCCTGGAGCCCCACCATGGGGGCAGCCTGGTTCCCCTGCTGGGGATGTCTGTGAGGACAGGCTGATTGGCCTGTCACAGGTGAGTTCCCAGACAGGTCATCTGCAGTCCGTTCTGCGTCCCCAACACTCCAAATTGTCAAAGCATCCTAAAGTACTGAAAGTAGAAAGAGCATGACTGTTAATACGAGGATCTGACTTTGAAATTATTGGAGCCTCAGGATTTAGCAGCAGAGATTGCAGGAGCAGTGATTCCTCTTGGTGATGTAGAATGTGTGTGCTTGACCTGGTGAGGAGGTGAGGGAAAGTGTTTGTGGTGGCTACCTCATGTATACCGTTATTTTTGAAGTTACTGTTAACGTTTTACAGATTTTCTTCCTTTTCACCATGGACCAGACTTATTTTTACCATTAGGCCTTGAGTGTTCATGTCACATTTGTACAAAGTATTATTTTTTTTAACAGGATATGTGAACTCTTCTGAGAAAACATAACCCAGATTCTAGCCAGTTAAGAGGATAAATGAAAATAGAAAACTAGCCTTACTTCCAAGGCTACACAAATTCCATCTTTATTTTTTTTTACAGAATTGTCCAGTGAAAGGAAGCAATCATGTCAACAATCTTCAGCATTAATTTGGAACCGCTTGTTCTATAATTATTGTGGCAACAAAAAACTCATTTTGACCTTAGAGTTATCTATTTAGTTAGAATGAATCAAATTTGGCTAATTGCATGTGAATTATGATCAGTTTGACATTTTTGCTTAATTTGTGGCTCAGAGTTTGTTAGTTCTGTTACTCCTTGAACCCAGCATAGCAATAGAAAACTTGATTAAAAGTGATGATAGTTCTCAGTTTCCCATTTTGGGATTACAGAGTGTTCTCACTTTCCTAGTTTGAGACTAAGGAAGTCTCAGGGAACCAGCTGGCTTTTATAAATATACTTTTTGGTCATAATCTGATGTCACCCTTGCCTGTCTGGAGCCTGGAGAATTAAGCTGGACGCACAGTGGAAAGCTATCCAGCCAGAAGTAGTCCTCTGGAGCCTGCTGGTGCTTATTTTAGATGGTATCAGGAAAGGGCGGGAAAACTGTATGCAGGTTAAGAGTCTGAGCATACAGTGTGATGATAAAGCCATTTCCTGCCATGTCAGTTTAGATAGGACACATTGTCAAGGAGACATGGTGGAGATGCAAGGAGTGTGACGGATGGGAATGGAGTCTTCCCAGGTGTATTACCCAGCTTTCTGTTGCTGTGACAAAGTCCCTGAGAAGAATTACTTAAAGGAGGAAAGATTTACTTTTGCTCATGGATGGAGAGGTTTTGATCCCTATCTGCTGGCCCCTTGTTCCTGGGCCTGTGGGGGGGCCTGCACATCATGGCAGAAGGGCATAAGGAACAGAGCTGCACAGGTCACCAAAGCTGGAAGCAGAGAGCCTGTGTCAGAGAGGAGGGGGTGGGGACAGATAAATCCTTCAGAGAAGTGCTGCAATGACCGTGCCTGTCAGCGTGGCCCACCTCTTTATACCTCACTCAGCTGTCAACTCATCAGTGGGTTTCTGCTCGTCCAGCAGCTCAGGAGCAGAAGTTTCTTGGGAACCAGCTCTGAGTTGCTTTAACCAATATGGAATGTCTAGTTTTCCATAAAACTAAAATACAGTTTGAAGAAACAGAATGAAGACCTGCACTCAGATACAATAGAGATGAGTTAGCAAACTAGGAATTTAAAAGAACTCAGACTTTAGATGAAGGGCATTAACAGAAGAAGTAGGTAATATGAAACACATGACAAATGTCAGCAGACAGATGGAAACTAAGAAAAAAATTACAGAAGTAAAAATTGCTAAAAGAAATGAATGCCTTTGATGGCTGAGAAAAACATCTAAATTTGTAGAAATGTTAATTGAAACTTCAAAAACTAATGAAAAGAAAGGAAAGACTGAGGAAAATGAAACAGATTATTGAAGAGTTGTGGGATGCTTACAAGAAGTTTAATGTATACATAATGGGAAAAACAGAAGAAGAGAGAAAGGAACAAAAGAAATTAATGAAATAATGGCTAATTCATTTCCAAACTTAATGATAGACATCAGACCACATATCAAAGAAGCCCTGACAACAGTAGATGGGCATAGAACTGTGCTGAGGCATATAGAATTCAAACTGCAGATAAGGACAGAATCTTGAGAAAAGTTGGGGTGAGGTGTGGAAGAAAATCCCATGAGGTTTTGCTTCAGAAACCATTCAAGCAAGTAAGTAAAAGCTTGCCTACATGGCTTCTATATCCAGTGAAATTATCCTTCTATATGAAGTGGAAATAGACTTTCTTGGAGAAATCTATTTTAGTTACTTTCTCATTGTTGGGACAAAATATCCAGTATCTACAAGTTAAAAGAGGAAACTGTCAATTTTAGCTCACAATGTGTAGAGGTTTCTGTCCATAGGTAGCTGGCTCCAAGACAGGGCAGCAGGGCAGAGGGGCATCAAAATGGAGAAACAGTTCATGGCAGGACAGACAGGAGGCAGCAAGCAGCAAGCCTCCCTTTCCCTTTTATCCCATCCAGGCTATCAGGTGGTGGTTGGTACCACCCATACCCAGGGTGGGGCTTCCATTTTCTACACCCAGAATTGTGTCATACACCCTTAATCACATACCTTTTAGTTATCACACACTCTTAATCTGTCTTCACAGACCTTAGATCCAGTCACCTCTAAAAGCCCCACCTATGAGTGCATGAGGCTTTGGGGGGACATCTAGACATATGCTGTAAGAAAAACTGAGGGAACTTGTTGCCAGTAGATTTGCCTTAAATATTAAAGTTTAAAATAATACAAGTTCTCTAGAAAGAAGGAAATGATGTAGGCCAGAAACTTGGGTCTATATAAAGAAGCTTGTTAGGTAAGGAATAAATGATTCAGTTTGCTCCCCGAGGTGTAGTGGCCTGGTACTTGGACTCTGAAACATACTGAGTAGAAGACACAGTGCATGACTGATTGTTGGCTTTAAAAAGAAACAGAAAGCTTACTTTTCTTGACCTGCAGCTCCAACTTCTGCATTTAAACATTACCACATTGGGCACAGTGAGTTCCTGTCTCATGGAAGGGAGAAATCTACTCCAAAGATGATAAAATTGTAAAGAAGACATGAAGATATGATGAATACTATCTTCCCTTCAGCTTTTATAGATATTAATAAGGTAACTTACTGTGTCTTACGCAACAGAATATTTTCTTATAGTATCATGGTATCAGTTAAGTTTGAAATACTTTTGAAATCATTTCAAAATTATAGAAAAATGAGTATTGTAGACAATATGATGCCTTTGAAAGCCAGAAGTTGTTATATTTTCAAACTAGAAATGAAAAGGCTATTGTGGTATCCTATTCTCTTACAGATTTAATTTACCTTATTGATAAATACTGACTGCTGTAATCCACATAGCAAACCCCCTCTCCCTTTAAACTGAAAGGAAGCTGGAACCTGGCATTTTACCAGGGTCTTAAGCACATCTGTTCTAGCATGTTCACTCTTAGTGGCCTGGGGAGCAGGTGGCCATCCCACTATTTTCCTTCATTCCATTCCCATCCCATGCCATCTTAGTTTTTCACCCTTTTCCTTCCCATTTTGTAGCTTTCAGTCAGTGTAATGAAATACCTGCATCATTACAAAAGGAAAGAGTCATCAGTCATGCAGTTTAGAGGCCCAGTCCTCACGAGCAAGCAGACCTTTTTGGGCTTCTGCTGCGGTAGCACATCATGGCCAAAGCACCCATGCTGCAAAACAACTTTGATCAAAAGCCAGCAAGCAAGGAAAGGAAGATGAAGAGGTCAGATCCACATCTGACCTCAGTGGCCTGTCTCCAGTGCAGTGAAGGCTTCCCATGAGGCCCCACAGCACCTCCCAAAGTTCTCCCAGGGACCACACCTTCAGCACATGGGCCTCTGAGGGCACCTAACTTCCAGACTATGGCTGACCCCGAACTGAAGGTCAGGATGTAGAATGGTGTCAGCAATGACTATAGTTTTGGAAACCAGCATGATATCTTCTGTGGCAGTTTCTGTTATTCTACGTGAGTCCTTCAGGATCAGCAGTACCATGGCCCTGTGGTAGCCATGTAGAGAGCCTGGAGTTATATAATGGTTGGTGGGTCCCTGCCTTGTAATGGCCAAAACATTGCCAAGTTGCAGGAGCAGGTACTGAGGCGTATACCGCATTTCCTTTGATGTGTTTGTGGAATATGAAAACTTCAAGATCCCCATCCTCAGCCCCAGGGAGAACAGTGATTTAGAGGAAATTGTGAGAGACCCCTGAGCAAATGTGGGCCAAGGAGAGGAGATGGAGCTTCAGTCCAGCACACCTCCCCCAGCTGATAGTGTTCATGGGCTTTGAATGGGATGCATGGCCAGGGGTGGTATGAAGACGTGACTGGCTTTCTGCTCCCAGTCTGTGAGACACCACAACTGGAGAGCTGCACCATCACCAACCCCTTCAGCCAACACCACCAGCTGCTGTGGTCCTCTCTCATATTTGAGATGGAGTCTAGGGTCTTTGCTAGCCCAAAGCAGTAAGGGTGCTGTTGCCACATTTACTTCATAGGAAATCAGCATCTTGAGGAGGCCCAGGAACCTGGACAGAAGGTGAGCAGAATAGTCAGTGTTGGCTTGTTTCCTACTGGCCTGGAGACCAAGATCACCCTCTTCCACCACAGCCCCATGACTTCCCGTTTGTGTACAGCACTGGCAGCTGTGGTGGAAGCTCAGGCAGTACCAGCTTCTGTCAAGGTCTATCCTTCAGGAGAAACTCCGTGTATGCTGAGGACCAGCGGAATTTACCAGAAGGTGTAACCCATGCTGTCTCTCTGGCAGCAGCCAAGGCTGGCAGGGAGTCACCAGCAGGCTTCTCATGTTCACCCGCAAACCTATGTTTCATGTCAACAGGAAAGACCCAGCAAGTGGCTGAAAACAGTGATGCTGATTAAACATTCCGTGGGTACTGCTGAGGCAGGCGCAAGTGTGTGAGGTTCAGGATGGGTTCCCTGGCTTCACATGGACAGTAAAGAAAACTACAAACAATGTAAAGTCAAACCATAAACTGGGGAGGAGATTTACAGGGAGAAAAGTTTAATTTTCTTACTAGAGATCTTAAAAACAAAAAAACATGAATTCCAGAAAAAGATGCAAAGTCATGGAAGTGGAATCCACACTCTGATGATGCAGGTTGTGGCTGTTTTAGTTCACTGCCACATTGCTGCCTATGAACAGATCCTACTGTTACTGATGTGGGGCATAGGTGTGTTGGTGGAACTTTCTGCAGGGAAGCTTGGTAGTATTTAGTAGGATTTTAAATACACATCCTTGATATTTTTATCAAAATTTCCTTCTTGAACTTAATTAGAAGAAATAGTTGGATAAATGTGCAAAAGTATTTTATACAAAAATGTTCATTGTCATCTGGCTGAGGTAGCACAGGCATGTAATCCCAGCTACTTGGGAGATTGAGGGAGGAAGTATAGAAGTTCAAGGGCAGTCTGGGCTCTGGGTCAAAGTAAAAAGGGTGGGAGGTTGCTCAGTGGTACAGCATTACCCTGGCATTCAGGAGGCTGTGGTTTCAATACCCAGTTAACCTTCCCCCCAAAACAAAGAATAATTGTCATGTTCACAGCAGTAAAAACCAGATTATCTATAAATCAACTATGGAATAATTACATGAACGATTATACATCCATATGGTGGAAAACCAAGCAGCCATGAAAATGATGTAGAGTTGATTGTGTTTACCAACCTGGAAAGATACCATTTTATATTTTATTTGTAAAGATCAGGTTTTGAAGTGTATACCTAGTATGTTACACCTTTTATTAGACATGTAAAACTGTATATTTCGTGATTGAAGAAGACAGTACCAGTTTACATACCAAAAAGGTTAAAGGGGGTTAGTTATCTTAATGCTTTTAGTCACCTTCAGGCTGTGTAAAATAGGTTCTTGCAGTGGAATGCCTCTCCCTTTGTACAGCAAGAGTGGTGACTGTGGAGCCATCTGTAAGAGGCCAGGAGGGAAGGTGAGCGTGGGCAGAGAGGATCGGAACCTGCGGGCCACGGCACCCAATGTGAGGTCTGCTGAGGGCCGGAGGTTGCACGCCAGGGCATGTCTGCGGGACCAGAAGGCCATGCAGCGTTTGGCTCATTCTTTGCTAGGGATTTAGCTGGCACTGGTGTTGAGGGCAGATTTCAAACTGAGATATCTGGCAAGGTCTGCAGAGAACGTTTTTACCAGGTGGGTGGTGAGTCCTACATGTGCGGACTTTCTGCTGGTGGGCCCAGGGCCTTCCGTAAAGCCAGACCTCCGGCTGAAGACAGGCAGCGTGGAAAGAGCTCGGAGAGCATGGTGATTTTTACCTGGACCTTTTGCCAGGGCCCTGAGAAGAGTGCTGATTTGCAGGTACTCCCGGCCTAGTGGGCACCCCTAGGAGCCCTGCACATCCATCCAGGAGGGGACCCTGCATCTGGGCAGCCACGTGCTGGGAAACAAATCTGATGGTTGAATCAACTTAAAAGTTATTTAAAAACCTTGGAAGTCTCCCAAAATCTGCACCATCTGGAGAGCATGGTGCAGGTATGGGCACGCAGCATAATACAAAGCCTCTGTGGCTTTTTGAGGGCATCTTATACTTCCGCAACAGCCACGTAAACCAGGGACAGTATTCATTCATCCCATCATAGAGGTTCTAACATCCCTTTTCAATATTGATAACTAGATTAAACAAAAAATAGGCTGTGAAACATGCAAACAACACCTTTTCTCATTTTTTGCTCTGAGGAACATTTATGAAACTCCTTTTACAAGTGCTCCTGGAATGAATGCTCAGCAAGACAGATCATATACTGGGCAGCAATGAAAGTAACAATGAATTCCAAAGTCTACAGAGTTAAGTTAGCAATAACAGTGGAACATCTAAAAACATACCCAAGTATTTGGAAAATAAACAACGTATTTCTAAAAAGCAGGCAAGGAAGAAATCAGAAAAATAAAACGTTTTGTCTGAATAATTACACAAATACGTAAAAGTTTGTGGGATACCATCAAAGTAGTGCTTTAAAGCTGTATGAAAGAAAGATTTAAAGTTATGGGATTGTATTTCTACTTCAGGAAACTAGAAGAAAAAAGAGCTAAAGAAACCCAAGTTAAAGGAACAGAGAAAAGCCGAAAAGGAAGCAGAATAAGGAAAATAATAGAGTGGAAACCAGTAAAATAGAAAATAAAAAGAGAAAAAAAACCCTACATGTAAATAACTAAAAATTAATAAAAATTAAGTCCTTGCAGAACTTTACACATGAGAGAAACACAAACCTGCTTTCCACACTGCAGTGTCTATAGTAGAGACAACACCTCCCATGTTCTGTGCCGCTCAGTAATTACCTGGAACGTGTTACAGGATTTCTCAACCCACTTTCAATTAAAAACATACTGCACTATAGGTAATGTTTTTGTTTCAAGAAATCAGATAATAAAATAACTTCTTTCTACTTACAGAAAAAGGCTTAAACAATTTAAATTCTAAATATATTAAAACAATATATATGCAGCCTTTTATTCACAGTGATTTAAGACAGGAAAGAGGTAAGTTATAAAAATGAGTTCATGTCTTTAGCTTCTTGTTGCCTCTGAACAAATACGCCACAAACCGAAAACCCCATTTCCCTTTCAAGCAGCTTAAGAACCTGAAACTCCATATAGGCTTTTGAAGCAACTCCAGATGGTTTCATAAGAGGTCCCAAAGATAAGGGAAACGAATAACGAGGCCTGGTGTGCACTGCCAAGTGAGAAATTACAGGCATTTTCAAAGCTTGAGCCCACAGATTTCTAAAAAGTTATTTCCCATTTCTCTAGAAGCAGCAAAGGACAGTCAGTGCTGAAGAGCTGTGATGATGCCCCTGGCAGTGTTGTGTCCAAGTGACTTCATCAGGTTGCTACTCCCAGGGGTTGCCAGTCTGTACTGACTGGTGCATGATCCAAATAAGCCCTGACTGCTTGGGTTACTGGGTTCCTTTATAGGACCACAATCAAGAGTGACAGAAGGGCCAGGGAATTAGCGCAGTGGTTCTGCCACCTGTCTTGCAAACACAAGGTCCTGAGTTCGATCCCTGGTACCAAGAAACAAACAAAACAACCCACAAAAATGGAAAAATGAAGCCAGGTGTGGTTGTGCATACCTGTAAACCTGGTGCTTTGGCAGAGAAGGCTGGCAGGCAGGTTAACTGGAGACGTAACTCAGTGCAAAGGCCTTAGGTTCTATCCCTAGCACCAAAACAGAAGAAATAAGAAAGGAAGGATGGATGAATTTATTTACATTTCACCACATGGAGAACGGCAGTTGGTCTACTCCTTCGTGCACGAAACCCCTCCGATTTCCAGAAGGAATGAAATGAAACCAGACGTGCATGTGTAGATTTGGTAAAGTTGGCCCAAGAACTGAAAGTGTTGATTCTTCTTGCCCGGAGTAAGGTAGCAGTTAACATGCTCATTGTGAGAAAGCTTGGAGAAAATTCATCTTTAAAGAAAAAAAAACCAAAACACCCTAGTTTGTCAAGAGCATTTTACCTCTCAGTGATAGCGTGAGGGCAGGAGGTCCTAGTTTTGGCTGGGGTCTTTTCCCTTGGGCTCTGTGGTGTGCACAGTGCTGCTCCAGAGGGGGACCGGCAGCTGTGGTGGCAGTGCTTTGAGGACTGTACTCTACTTTCTGTGCTTGCCGAAGGTTTTCCTACATCATCTTTACAATAGCCTTCTTGTCTTAGGCCCTTTCTCCTGGCTGTGACACAGTACTTTTACCACAGGGTAAAGGAGGAGAGATTTATTTAGGCTCAGGTCAGGAAGGACAGTCGCAGAGGGGTGTGATGAGGAGAGCTGCTCGGGTCCTTGTGGTCAGGAAGCAGAGTGGAGGAAGAGCTGGGGAGCAAGGCTCACCGTCCTCTTCCAGCCAGGCAAGCAAGAAGTCTGCTGTGTCTGCCCTATGATTCAGTCACTTTCCAAAACCCACGTGTGAGCACAGGAGGCCTTTGGAGGACATTATTGATCTGCATATCGCTTATGAAATAGATTCTTGCTTCATTTTACATACAAAAAAGTCAGGTTTAGAACCATTTGTAAAGTGGAGTAACCTGATCTATATGAATACTTGTATATCTACAAATGTATTTTAATTAAACAGTATATTCCTTTAAAAAAACTTTGGGAATCACTAAGTTCCAACTGTGTATTTCGGGGTTAGGATGAGGTCTGTCTGCTCTTAGAACCAGGGGCTTGGGTTTCTGTTGCTCTGTTGCATTCTTTGCAGTACTCACTAATGTCCTCACTAAACTTGGTGCTCAGTAGATGTTGGTTGGCAGGCAAAACACAGCTCAAATGTTCAGAACTACTGTATATGCTCAAGAATGCTTTATATATGCTAGCACCGAATGTCTCGTATATTTTAGTCAATGCTTTCTCAGTTGGAGTTGGCATTAATTCTTTTTTCTTTCTTTCTTTTTTTTAATAGATCACTTCTGTAACTACATCACCAGCCTATTGCACTAGCCATGATGTCGAGGTCACGACAGCCTCCCCTTGTGACAGGCATCTCTCCAAATGAAGGGATCCCATGGACGAAGGTCACAATTCGAGGGGAATACCTGGGCACTGGCCCCACCGACTTAATAGGTGAGGGCAAGAACTGTGGGATTTGCTGTGGCGAGAGGTCCTGTGCTGGGCCAGTGTGGTAAGGTACATTTTATTATTATTTTGGAGTAGTGAAGCAGATGGAAAAATATCTGCTGTTATCTCTTTAGAACGCTTTGGATGAGATGAATTATTTGGCGTTCTGGTTTTTCCGGAGAAGTTGTTATTTTGTCAAATATTGTCTGTATTGTGTTTCAACAAGTCCTTCAGAATTTCCCATGGCAGATATTTGTCTTTGCGTTGATCTCTCCTGGGCAGACTGCTGAAGATGGAGCTGAGGCCCGAATAGAAGTGGGTACTGGGGACAGTGGGGCAGAGAACAGCATCACTGCTTCATGGTCTGGTCCACTTGAGGGTGGAGAGCTGTGTTTAGAGTGAGGAGGGGAGGCCTCAGTGTATGCTGCTGAGTGTATGCTCGGACACGGCCATTTCTTAATGCCTAGTGGTCCCTGTCCCGCTGGTAACTTCCTAGAGCTCTGAGTTAGAACTTCCTTTTCTTCATCATAACTGCTCGGTGATAAGTTGACTTTTGGCCACCTGGAAAACCTTTTTCACCTGGAAACAGAACATGAGCTGGAGCTCAGCTCTGTATTTAATAACTGAGTTTACCTTCCAGCTAATTCTTCTACTAGTGGTAAATGTGATCATCTTATTTTATTTTATTTATTGGTACTGGAGATTGAACTCAGGACCTTGCGCTTGCAAAGCAGGCACTAAATCCCCGGCCCAGTCGTCTAAATTTACATTGTTTTCTGTGGTTAGAGTTTTCGCTTTTTTAGTAGACATGGCTTCAATTTGTTCTTGCAAAGATAGTCTTATCTAATCCTAAATCTTGGGTTTTGATGTAGCTCAATCCAGGTACACCATTATTCAAGTGGAAAAATTCTCAGTGCATGGTAATACACCATCTAGTGGAAATTACATCTAAACTGGCCGTCTTTGTGGGTGTCAGAACATGACAGTTACTAGTCTGCACACATTCTAATTTAGCTTTAGCCTCGGGCAGTGCTATTCATAGGAAACCAAGTATAATTCGTTTCATGAACCTTGCTAGTTCAGCTTTCAACCTGCCTCATGTATTACCAAGAAACCATTTTTTAATAAAGCAAGCATAACCTACTAAATAATTTAAGAGTTTTAAACTCAGATAACTATATTAGCCAAGTAAAACACTATAAAAAGTACTTTAGTTGGAATTCTACGGGTCACTTTAAGAAAAAGAAACAGGGTTCACTGAAATAGCTTTCTTAGCTTTCAGTAAGTTAGCAAAAATGTGCTTTAAAATGAAAACAGATAGGTCTTACGATCTTTTCATTTCATAACATTGAAAATGATCTGTTGGAATCTATGTTTAAGTTATGTACTGATGATTAACCTTTGGAGTGAAAATGCAGACTAGATAACTGAATCAGAAGAGCCCTGCAGAGAGCCGGGACAGGGTGTGTGCAGCTGTGCTTCATGTCGCTTTCTGCTGCCTCATCTCTTCCTGGACACCGTTTGTATTTGTTCATGTGAATGTGTTTTTAAGATTTTTGCCTACATAATAAATGTGAAATCTATTTTCAGTTCTTAGTTTTAATTGTAGGATAGTTAGCTAGCAGGGAATTTACATAAGGAGTGAGTTTTTATGTAAATGAAGGTAGTGTATTTTTTTACATTATGCCCTGACATTTATTGTTGAAATATGCTTGTTTCTGAAGTGAGTTAATATTTAAAATCACAAGACATTTTTGTTATTACAAAATTTAAAAGTGATACCAAACAATTGCTATTTAAGTAGCTTACAAATGAAAACATTTTCTCTTCATTTTATTATTTATCTACTTATTTTTTTGAGGCAGATCTCACTCTGTAGCCCAGAATGGCGTCAAACTAGCAGTCCCCTGCTTCAGTTTCTCCCAGCTTCTGCTCCTTTAAAAGCACACAGGTTTGTGTGTGTCTGCGTTGGCTTGAGAAACGTGCATTGTGCTGATCTCGGGGGTGGGTTCTGGAATTTCCAATCTCTGTGACAAAAACTTATTATGAGGAAAGATATAAAGATAGTCCCATTTTGAAAAAGTAATTTTGAATTTTGAATACATTAAAAATACCAAAAGTGATTTAGCCCTAAAAGAACCTTTAAATGTTATTAGCAAAACAGAGTTGCATCTATGAATAAATAATTCAGTAGGTGCTTTAAGGGAACTCCGAAGTTTCATTATTTCAAGACATATAAAGATCTGAAAGATGTAGTTTTTATTTTACTCCTTTATAATTAATATAGAATTATTACTAAATAGTGCTTTAAGTTTTAGCAAACTACAACTCCAGTTTAAAATCAAATTTGGCATCAGTTGAAATGTTCCTGGCATCTGAAAAAAGTTGCCATTGCTGAGTTTGACCACTGAACAATATGTAGTTTTAATCATGGGAAAGAGTGAACTGGCTAGGTCTGTGCCACACACATTCTAGTTTATCTTTTCTATATTTATTAGATTGGTGTCTGTTTTGTGGGAAAGGAAAAGTGCAAAGAAAATAAGCTCAAAGAGGAGTTGTCCAGTGATACTGGTGCTCCACCAGGGGGCGCACCTCATGCATGACAGTTGTTCAGAGCCTCCTTGTTTGGTTACTGTCTGAATTTTAATTTACCATCCTATCAGTGATGATAGACATGAGTTGACCTGACCTTTTGGGAGTGTTGGTTTGCTGGTAGAGAAGAGTGGAAGAGTAATACAATGATCATTTTATTAGGAAAACACTAAGCATCATAAGCTACCAGTGTGGGCTGATTTGAGGTAAAAGAAATGAATAGCAAACTGGAAGCCCAAAAATGTTTCCCTGGATTTTCCATATTCTGGACTCTACCTAATTAAAATGTCTCCTTGAGTTCATTCTATAACAGCATGTATAATTGAACACTAGAAAAAGAACTTACTGGTTCTTTTCAGGAAGAAAGTGAATATAGAATGTTTTAGGGACTAATCTATAAAATTTTTAATATGCTTTAAAAGCACATCAGTAACTTAAATTTCTAATCATAGCAATGTTTCCTTCTAACACTTCTGACAATTTAAGATTTTCATAGTCTTAATCTGTAATATCTGAACATTTTTATGGTACACTATTTTCTAATCTGATATTGGAAGAAATTTAAATGTAGTCTAAAAGAAGGCTTAAATAGTAGAGAAAAAGGAGGCTGGAAAAGATACAGATAGCAGTACATTTGCCAGTAACATTGGGTATATTCGTTGTAAAACCAGCCATGGAAAAGGCAGTGATGTATCTGCATTCTTTTCATGTGGAGACGTGAGCCTGTTTAATGTCTTACATAGCATTGATCTTGGTTGCATGTGTGCTTTTTCTCTAGGCCTGACCATTTGTGGGCACAACTGCCTCCTGACGGCAGAGTGGATGTCTCCAAGTAAAATAGTGTGTCGAGTGGGACAAGCCAAAAATGACAAAGGGGACATCATCGTCACGACCAAGTCAGGTGGCAAAGGAACCTCGACAGTCTCTTTCAAGCTGCTCAAACCTGAAAAAATAGGTAATCCTCCTGATGACTATTTTAAAGAAGAATATGAAGAGTACTTTGTCTTTTAAAATTTGAGATGGGTAGATGAATGTAGAATTGACTTAGTTAGATTCCTTCTGTGTTTATCTGGTGGAGGTGGGGTGTGGGCTACAGTCTGCCTTGCTTGGAAGAGGGACCCAGGACACCATTGTCCTCAGAGATACGTGAAATCTCACACTGTCACGTTCAGAATCCCAGTTTTGGATGTTTGATCTTGATCTTAAGTGTAATGACAGTGTTTTTAAACTTATGTGGTTTGAAGTCAAGGTGAACAAGCCAAGACATCAGCACTGTCCAAGGAATGTTCCCTCTCCCTGCATCTCTGTCCTTCCAGCCACCCAGCCTGGGCTGCATTGGCCTTAGACAAGTGGCAGCCACTCTGTGCATGCTCCACAGCCCTCTGTAGCCACCTGCTGCCTCCTTTGTTAGCAATGGGTCTGGACTTGGCCTCGGGAGCAAGTCCTCAGTTCTGACGTGCTGTGTTTAATGGCAGAGCCTCATTCTTCATAAGTGAAAGTGGAGGGAGAATGTTACCTGCCTTGGGGGTTTGCAGAAGTTAGAACACAAAAGTAATGTTCAGCGTATTCCTTATAACTTTAAACTATTAATCTTATAACTTTAAACTATTTAAACGGTGACTTTAAACTATTGTCCTTTTGTCCTCTGCGCGTTCTTATCCCTCCTTCTAACGTAAGAGTGATGCCAGCTTGCTCATGTGACTCACACGTCTTGGCACAAGTACACAAATGTTTGTATAATACAGGAACATCAGCATCTTCGGCACAGTCACCCACACAGTAGGTCTCTTTACATAGAAAAATAAAATCTTTGACAATAGTCCCCCCATCCTCTCCTTCCTCCTCTCTCTAATTCTCTCCTTCCTTGTTTCAGAGTACTGGGTATTGAACCCAGGGTCTCATGTATGCTGGGCAAGCATTTCATGACCGAGCTGCACCCGCAGCCCTTATAAAAATTTTATTTTGAGACACAGTTTCATTAATTTGCCCTCCTGCCTCAGTCTCCTAAGCATGCCAACAGTTTTTGTTTCTTTAGAGTATAGAGCTTTCCTGTAGCATTATCTTCTACAAATTCCTGTATTTTTATATATTTGTGTGCCAAAATGGGCACAAATTCCTATATTTTAAATAAATGAACATTTTAAGAAATTTAAATGAAAGTTGAATGTGTGTACATATGTGCATTTATACTGTTACCTTATATATGGCATAAATATAAAATATTATACAACACACACACACACACACACACACACACACACATATATATAATATCCCTGTTTTTATTATTTATTTAACTTCTTTAAAAACTGAATTGAAATTAAAATGGGCATTTGTAGTTCGGATTTCTGGAGGAGATTGGAACGTCCTGATGCTGTCTAGCATCATTTCATAGCACACTGCAGCAGGTGAGGACACCAGTGTGTGTGGACCTAGTGTGTGCAGCTTGGGGGTGTCCCACTCTGGGCTCGAGGTATCTGGCCCGGCACAGCACCGTGGGTGCAGAGCTGGGGTTCACTGGAGCAGTGCCCTCCTAGTCCTCCGGGCCTTGCCGGTTCTGTGCTCTGGCTGCAGCCCGGCCTGGGTGCCGTGGTGGTAGCTGGCATGAGCTGGGCTGAGTGACAGAGCTGAGCACATGGGGATCCTGTGTAGGGCTGGCCGGGTCTCCCTGAGTATCTCGGTGTGTCTGCTTCACAACCTGTGTATTCCTTGGAAGTGCAGGGCCAATTTAATTACCGGCCATTTTGTTGAATTTACCTGGTTGATTTCAGCATAGCATAGAAAAAAACCTGCTGTTGTTTATCATGTAGAGCATTTCCAGCATTAGGAACAGTAAAAGCAATGAGAAATACGAAGTTGAATGTTCCTTTTGCATAACTATTCATGAAATCATGTTGGTATTTATAGAAGAAAAGAAAATGAGAGACATTTCTTGTGTTTTCAAGAATCATTTTTAAGAACGTTGGGATTTCATTGGTAGCAAAATGTCTGTAAGTAGCTTATGAAATTTGAAAGAAGAAACTGAGAATATTAAATATAAAGTCATATAAGTACAACAATGTATGTGATTTATCATAATTATATCAAGTATATAATCAAATATAAGTACAATCATGTATTTATCAAGTCACAAGCAAGAAACTTTTCACAAGTGTACACAATTTTAGTTTTCTCTTGAATAATCAGAAAATGTGGTTCATTTCATCTTCTTGATTAATCACCTGAATTTTATAATCAATTTAAACAGTATTATTTCACAATGTAGAAATATTGTATTTATTATTTGTAAGATTCATTTGTTTTTGCAGAACTTATTCTCTACTGAACTATATAAAATGAAACCATAAACTGAGAGGTGTTTTTGATTCCTTTTCATAGATTTTTAGTGGGGGTGGGTACTGAGGTTGGACCCAAGGGTGCTCCACCTCTGAGCTACACCCCCAGTGCTTTCCCACACTCTAAGTTGTTTTGAGATAGTGTATTGCAAAGCTTTGAACTTTTGATCTTCTCGCCTCAGCCTCATTGAGTAGCTGCGGAATCTTACTACTTTTAATTAAGTTACTAAGCATTAAAAAACAAAATCTGAGTAGTAGTGCCTTTAAATCTCGCACAGATCACTAGGCATTTTGAATGGGGTCTTTAAAAGCTAAAGCACTATGTGGTCATCTCTAATTACTGCTGGGCTTCTCCTTTCCATAGGCATTTTGGATCAGTCTGCTGTGTGGGTGGATGAAATGAATTATTATGATATGCGCACCGACAGGAATAAGGGAATCCCTCCTTTGTCCCTCCGTCCTGTGAATCCCCTTGGTGTTGAAATTGAAAAGTGAGTACCACTTTTCCCTCGGGTTCTTTCTCAGCTGCTCAGTCTTGTCCTTCAGTGAAAGGAGCTAACTTCAGAGCTTTGCGGGTGCAAGGCAGAGATGGCCCAGCTGGGAGGTGGCCGAACTCTCTACCTTTCTGTTTCTTCTGAGTTGAGACATTTGATGAGTAACATTCTTGTCCCCTTTGGTGTTAGGGGCGGAACCCAGGGCCTTGTGCATGCTGGGCCAGCTCTGTCCCTCTGATCTCCACCTTAGCTCCTCACCCATACCTTTTATGATATGAACTTATTATCTTCTCTGCAGTTGGTACGTTTTAAATATTCACACATATATGAAGTAAAATTGAAAGTAAAATTAACCATTTGCTTGAGTTTTCTAGAAATATTTTGGTATAATAAGGTCCAAAGGTACCTTTTATTTTGTTTATACTCTCTACCTATAGGTTTTACTGAACCAAGATTTATTTAACTTTAGTCATGTGTTTCAAGATGTTTTGCAACTGAATCTGGAGTTTCGTTTTTGTACTCCTTAGAATTGTGTTCTAGTGACTTTTATAACTAATACCTTTATCCTTCTATCTTACACAATTCTTCTGACATGCCAGTTATATTTCATTTATTTTCTGGCCTGTGTGATTCTGATTGTGGGTATATACTGAATTCTACTGTATAAACCTTTTAGGTGAAGGATTCCATGAGTGAACGCAGGCAAATGCGTAGAACATAGCACGTGGCTAACAGACATTAGTCACTATTACTGTGAAGCTTTGTTCTCCCTGGATATACACTGTGCGTTACTCTGCCACTTAGGGAAAGAATTTCTTTTCAATGGCTTCAGTTCACAGGGCAATAAATTATATTAAAAATTTGAAATAGTATTATGTATATTCAAGAAGTACTCCCCTGGGGATGATACCAATAGATTTTTAAGAAATTGTAATGTTTGCTAGTTATGAAATAATGGAAAATATTAGAGGATAAGTTTTTAACCGTTAAAATCACAATTCTCATTCAAACATAAAATGAATAGATGTCAAAGCTGTTAACTCATTAATTAATGGGAAAACCAAGAAGACACTAGAAGCAGTTCAGAGTTCAGTGCAGAGTCCTGATGGGAGTGAGGGTTCCTGAGCAGTGCAGAGCCAGCCCTGTGTGTGGTTGGCAGCCAAGCTCCCTATGAGCACTCTGTGGCCTGGTCCACACCACACCAGCCTGTGCTCCTGGTGCCCTCAGAGGTATGGAGTTGCTGCAGAGACAGGTGGGAAGGACACTGGGAGGGCCTCTGCTTGGGCAGACATGTCTGGGAGGCTTTTGTCCTTCCAAGAGCCTTTTGTATTTTTTTCCATGAGAAGAAAGGAAAAGGAAAGAGATTTCAGAAAGTAAGAAAATGAAAGATACAAATAGGAAAAGTATAGAAACCAAGAGGAAAGAATTTTTTGGCTGGAAAAATACTTTTCTAGCTGCCCTTCCAACCCCCCCGCAACCCATTTTTCCCCCTACGTATTCCAGGCTGGCCTCAAACTCTCAGTGATCGTCCTGCCTCAGCCTCTCATATGGTGGGATTACAGGTGTGTATCACTTTGCCTGGCTCGCTTGCTTACTTTCTTTCTTTCTTTCTTTCAAGATAACTGAAAAGAAAGCTACATTTATTACATTTATTTCATGTATTTTTTTTTTTTTTATGCAAAGAAATACTTGTGTTTTAGCGGTGCTGGGGAATTGAACCAAGGGGCTTGCACTTGCTAAGTGTATACTCTCCCACTGAGATGTATGTAGCCCCAGCCCTGCAAGGTAGGGCAGTCTTGTGTCAGAGAGAGAAAAGGAAGGGGAAGCAAAGTGTAACATGTTGATGTGGGCTTTGTTTTTCTGGCCCACTTAATATTTTTCAGATGAAAGCTGTGGTCTCTAAAGCACACTGTGGCTTTCAGATCAGTGTCATATTTTCTATCTTTTATTTCTGTTGACTGGAGTGGGCCCTTATTTTTTTAAAAATCGCAACTGTGGAGCAGGAAGCCATGGATGGCGTCTGTGACTTGGACAGTGCTAACCAGGAGGCTTGGAGCCTGCTGAGCTTCACTGTGGCCCTGCTGCATGGGGTGTGGGGTGCTGCAGGCTGTGTGTGGGAACCACTGTGCCCGCAGTGCCTTGCCCGGCCGGGCGCCAAGGGGATGTGATAGCAGGTGAGCACTGTGCCTCCCTGTGGGTTGGAGTTCCGTACACATTTGATCGGCAGCCCGGGCGCACACACTGTTGTTCAGTCCACAAGTCTAATGACTGGCGTTTATTGGCTAACTTTCACCATTGGAGCCCTTGATGTCCTTGAATTTTTAACTGATGTTTTTGCATACATAGTGCCATGGTACTTATAAAAATTTACTAATTGTTCAGAAAAAAACAACTTCACCTTGAGTTGAGACAGGAGTGGCTTGTAAAAGGTCTGTATTCTGATTTATTATGCCCATTGGCACAAGTATATATGTTCTCCGCATGGCTTTTCTTGTTATAGAGACAGACTAAGCCAAAGACAAGGTGACAGGCAGTTCACATTGATAGTCTTCACCAGGTTTTGCTTCTTGGAAGTGATACCCTCTGCCCCTGGGCAGGTGCTTTTGGTGATGTTTTGAGCCTGTGCTGGCATAGGGCTGAGAGTGGAGTGGTTGAGGGAGGGCTGTATGTGCCCTTTAGTCGTTTCTGAGGATCATCACCTGTGAATGGCTGTCTGGAGGGCAAACCCTGTATCTGTTCTTTTTCTACATGGTTTTCATTTTTCATTTTTTCCTTCTTTTGCTTTTTGTGGTCCTGGGGATTGAGCTGATTGAGTGCTAAGCTACAGCCCTACCCCTTTTTAAAATTTTATTTTGAAAGAGTGTTTTACTAAGTTGCCCAGTTTGACCTTGAACTTGTGAGTCTCCTGCCCTAGCCCCCTAAGTAGCTGAGATTACAGGCCTGTACTACGGTGTTTAGTTCTGTACATAGGTTTTAGAAGCGGCCCACATCTGATTTTTTTTCTAATCAGCTCAGCTTTCCAACAGAAAGAAGTGACTGATTTTCCTGTGATATTTAGAGGGCTACATTTAAAAAAATTGACAGCAAAATAATTCGTTACAGGAGTGTAGTTGGAAAGACCTTTGGAAGAATTCACCTTTTGGACAGAGTATATTTATGGGCTGTGATAGGGTGCTTATGTTGCAGTTAGAAAAATTAAAAAGAAACAACCAAAATAAACCCATCATATTTAATGTAACAGTGTAAACAGTGTTGCTAAAAATTGAAAGCTAAAAGAAGTAAGAAAAACAAGCACACACTCAGAGAATGACCTAAGACTACCCACTGCCCCTCAGCTTCTGGTTGTCATTTCTACAGATGTCCCCTTCACTATAGCAGGCTGCAGCTGTGCATTGCCCAGGGTCTCCTGACAGTGGGCAGTGGTTTTTTGTACACCACATTGATCAGTACTGCAAACAAGTCTCACAATGGAAAGCAAACACTGACACATTGTGAGCATCCCAGGAATTTTACATCTCTCTACCCTCCTTGTACACTCGGGGCTCACTTGTTTAGAAGGCTTAAATCTGAGCTTACACTGCCATCCAGTGGAAAACATTTTCGAGAGGAGCCTAGAGTTGTTAGTGATTGAAGCTATTTTGACTCCTTGATGAAAATGCTTCCTTAGTTCTCACAGAGTGTATGTTGCCTTCATTGTCTCACTCTGTGCTTAGAGATTGAAAGGCAGACTTGGTCTGAATCACTCAGGGTTCATCCAGCTTTTGCTGATCGGGGAGCTGTGATTTCGCTTGGGAGTGAGTATGCAAGCCCCATGCAAGCTGCAGGTGCCTGGAAACCATCCACTGTGCTGATATGGCACTTCTTCCTTTCCTGCTGCTGTTATAAGATCATTGGCATTGTCCTTCTTCCTAAGTCAACTCCTCCTCCACTGTCCCCTGCATTTTTACCTTTACAGGTTTGTGGTTGTGATTTTATTTCCTAAAATCCTCTGCCTCTTTGACAGTAGAAGCACTGGGGTCCAGTGTGACCTCTGAGGATGTGTACTCCTCTATAATGTAGGAGACCATGGCTTAAGCAGCTTCTGAGTGCCCGGATGGCTGAGTGCAGTGAAACATTGAGTCCCAGGGAACCAGTTCTCTTAAGAGGCCCTAAGCAGGCATTCCAACAACTCTTACCTAAAATGAAAAGTTTATATTTTTATACCCTTGAGCCTGTGATGGATGGAGTCTTGCTGTTTCCCAAGATGCCCTCAAGACATCTTTCTTTTTGTCCCTGTACAGTGTGTCTTTTTAGTGGTGCTAAGCTTTTTAGCAGCCGCACCTTCTTTGGCCCCAATTTCGCCATGGTTCCCTCTGGGCCAGAATTTTTAATTTTAAATTTTTATCCTCTGCCTTTTACCTCTGATTCTCACTCTAAATCTTAAAGTAACCAGTAGCACCCATACCACAGCCTGAATGTTGAACTGTCTTGAAATTTCCTTCACTAGGATTAGTTAATTTACTGTCCTTAATCTCAGTCTCCCAGAGTATCTCAAGACATGAGCAAAATATAAATTTTCCTCCACGGTGTAACACACATGACCTCTAGTCCAAAGGTCAAGGTGACCTGGTTTCCAGCTGAAATCTCCTGAGTCTGGCTTTTATTGTCTACATTCCTGTCAGCATTCTGGTCTTTTGAGCTGTGACCATTATTACCCATCAAGCTCTAAGGATCCGCTAGTTACCATGTCTAAATCTTTCCAAACTCCTCCAGCAAATCACTTCCAGAGGCTTCTAAGCTATGTGTTCAGGTACAGTCACAGTAATGACCCTACTTCTTTGAAACCACCTTTCTTTGATATTAGCTTTCTCATGCTGGCACAATACCCAACACCCACAACATAAAGAAAGAGAGGTTTAATTTGCTCCTGCATGATCAGCTGGTTCCAAGGCAGGACCTTCATGGTGGAAGAGGGTGGTGAAGCCAGGCTGCTTCGCTCATGGTGGTTGGAAAGTAGAGCAGGGGAAGAGTGCCAGAGAGGAAACGGGCAGGGGATTGAATGTAGTACCAACAGCCTGGCCTCCATAACTCACCAGACACATTGAGGAACATACTTTACTAATCTGCTATGCGTTTTGAATTCTGATGAAATTGATAGGCCTGAAATAATAGTCATAGAAGTGAATGCACATGGGAGCAGCCTTCAGGGAACCCGAGAAAATGCCCACAAGACTCTAGAAGGTTTGATCGCCCATGGACACAGAGCATAGGCCACCTATGACAGCACCAGGGACAAGCTCAGAAGGACTTCCCATTCTCACCTCTCCTTCTGTAACATCCCTGAGGGAAGGCATGGGGCCTGGTACCTGCCCCAGCCCCAAACATGCAGCTCATCACTTGTTACTCTTAGCCAGAAAGAAGATTCTACCTTGGAGCAAAGGAAGAATATTGATTCTGGGCTAGTGGCCTAGATTCTGGATTGAGGCTGTGTCTATAGACTCCCAAGTCAGAGTGAGTGGAAACATCCCTGGCTCTGCCCACATTTTTTTCTGGATAAACCCCTCTGTATACATTTTAAAGTTCCTAGGCTGTAGAATAACATTGAGTCCCATTTATACCTTACGAATCACTTGTCCAGTCTGTCAGGATCGGGTATATTTCAGTTGGAGGGTCAGCAAATCCGAGGAACATAGTGGAAAGGAAGGTTTGTGCAGGAGAGTCTGTGCTGTCTCAGGAGACTGAGACTTTGGGTTTGAACAGTGCAGTGGCAAATTCCACTCCTGGAGCCCCTTGACTGTGGAGCTTGGACTTCATCCTGCTCAGGGAGGGGCAGCCACAAAGACTGTCAGGTTGTGAGCCTCGCGGGGCGGGGTCAGGCTGTGTGTTTGCTCTCAGACACATGTAAGTGTAGGTGAGTCTGACCTATACTGGATGTTGACTTAGTGTTTAAATGGCTACTAAGCAAATTGATCCAGAAGTCATCCTGAAATGTAGGCAAGATAAGGGGCCTGCAGACAATGGAGCCTGTTATTATAAGCTTTCCTTAAAATCATTCTGCACACAGACATGTAAATGTGAGTGCTGTGTAATTAGAGGTGGGTTTATATAGTATTCCCATGCTTTCTTAGGCATTAAGATTTGGGGACAGGGGGCTGGGCAAATGCTCTACCCTATACTGCACCCCCAGCTCTGAGAGGTCTTAAAACAACTTTTGTATAGCTCTTTAATGAAAACATTTGAATAAAGCAAATTGCTATTTTTTAATTTCACTGTATCCAAATTTTGATTTTTATATATTTTGAGTGGGGAATGATTTCATATTTTTGATAGATTTTATAAAAAGCTCAATTTTATGTGTTGAATCTTTTAGATCTTATATTTATTGATATATTTTAAGTATTTCAGTTAATTTCTCATACACATTCAAAGTTTACATAGTAGAAATTCAGCTGTGATGTAGAAAATACATTAACTCTCAAATACAAACATGGCCTTGATCATTTATCGTGTGTAACCATAGGGTTTATATCTCTGTTGCACCAGCTGCTCAGTGGTGTCTGTTGCAGTTTTGTAGCAGTGGCAGTTATAATATATTTTAAATCTTTTTCTCCTCAGAAGTAAATTTCCCCAGAAGGACTTAGAAATGCTGTTCCATGGGATGAGTGCTGACTTCACAAGCGAGAACTTCTCAGCTGCCTGGTATCTGATAGAGAATCACTCAGGCGCCAGGTTTGTGGGTGCGGGGGAGAGCCAGGCGGGCTTTACCTGGGTGCTGACGGTGAGGTCACACAGAGCCAGACGCTTGGCCCGGCTCTGTATATGATCATGCAGTCCTGGATTGATGGGTTCTTTGACTGTGGTGAGTCTCAGAGTATCTGTTTCCTTATTTAGAAAATGAGGGACTGTTGGGGCCTCTTACTTCCTAGGATCATCTGATGTTTCTGTATGTTCCCTTATCTGTGCCATTTGTTCAGTTGCATAGTCTTAGCTGGGATCCTAAATTGTTGGTTTGATGGGATATAGCTCCCTGTTTACATGACGTGAACGTTTTACGTTCTTGCATAAAATACAAAGCCCATTGCTTTTTCTGCTGCAGCATACTGTAAGACTTGGCGTAAAATTAGATAAAAATTGGACACTCGTATATCCAAGTTAAAATGTTCCTTTTGTCTGCCAGTTATATTTTACCCACTCTATAAAAGCAGATTTGTGACTTCTTTGCAAGTTTTATTTAAAAGTTAGAACATTTGGAAAAACAAATGGCTTTTTGCTTAAAATTTATATTCTGGAGAAGTCAACTTGTTGACTTTAAAATATACCTTAGTAAATTGTAATACCTTAATAAACTTTATTCATTTATTAATAATACCTTCATTCATATATTAGGATGAAAACCATTTCTAAAAAAATTGGTGTATATGAATGTGGCCTGATGTCTGAGGTGAGCTCTTTTTGAAGGTGATGCAATTTTACGTTATGCGCATTGTTTTCTGTTACTCTGAATCAGACTGTGGGGTGCTCTCCTACTGAGCTACATCCTCAGGCCTTTTTATTTTTCATTTTGAGACAGATTCTCACTGAGTTGCCCAGGCTGGGCTTAGACTTTGTCCTCCTGGCTCAGCCTCCTGAGTTGTTGAGATCACATAGTCATGCCCAACGTGTTTCCTTACTGGAGCTCAGAATTGAGCTCTGTTTTGTGTATAGAGCTGTAATGGTACCCAATAACATGTTCAAGTTTTACAGCCAGATTTTTGTTACTCAAATGGAAATAAAGCTTCTGAAATTCACAAGCCTATGTTTTCATTCTCTCTGTTTGAGAGACAAGAGGTAAGAACACCAAAGTTTTCTCAGTTACAGTGTACTGACCCACAGGTCGTAGGCAGTTTTGTTAGCAGGGGCATGAGGGCTGTGCCATGCTTTGCACTTATACTGCTAGTGCCCCAAGGTGTGCAGCTGGGTGCTCAGGGAGCCTGCCATTGGCACACAGTCCAGCACTGCAAGAGCTGTGTCTTCCTGTCAGGTACAAAACATCCAAAGCCCTTTACCTGGAAAATCGTGTTTGATTATATGTAGATTCTTAAAATACATATACATTTACTTCTTATGGGCCTGGTATTTGAAATTACCATTGAGACTACAGAACTCTTTATAGCTGTTGTAATTTAAGCATCATAATAAAAGTTTTAGATCTAGAGAAGAATTTGAAAGTTGTGTGTCTTTATTTATTTATTTATTTATTTTTTTGGCACTGGGGATTGAACTCTGGTCCTTGAGCTTGCAAAGCAGGCCACCGAACTGCTGAGCTAAATCCCCAGCCCTGAAAGTTGTGTGTCTTTAAATGGTTACATGTTATACTGATCTGTATGTGTCTTGTCTTAGGTTTTGGTATTCCTAGTGTGTTATGCTTAATGGATTGCCTTGTTTCTTTTCTGCTTGTGAGGAGTCTCAAATGTTTGGATTCTGTGTTTCCTTTCAGTTTTGAGCAGCTCAAGATGGCAGTGACCAACCTGAAGAGGCAGGCCAACAAGAAGAGTGAGGGCAGCCTGGCCTGCGTGAAGGGGGGGCTCAGCACATTCTTCGAGGCTCAGGATGCCCTCTCAGGTAAGCCAACCCCAGGACCATGTGCTGGAGCTTCCCAGGGAAATCTGAGCCTGTGCTTGTCACGTATTTACGGGGTGCGACTTGGGGTCCGTAGTTATAAAAGCAGAGGTTAAAACGAACCATAAATGCTTATTGCGGAAGAGGCTGGAATCTCTTTGAAGGCCTGATACTTTAAGTATTTGCTTCCAAGGCTTTGTTGACCCATCTCATGTGGTGAAATGAAGACTGCCTTCCCTCTCTGAGGCCCAGGCTTCGGGGCTGGTAAAAATTAAATTCCACTGGGTGAAGTTTCAGAATTCTGAAAACCACACACATGTGCCTAATTCTGTCAGCGTGGCCCATTCGGCGTTGGTTTGGACAGGACTGAGAGGCGTCGCTGTGTCAGCCATTGTCTCACCATCCTGGTTACATGAGCAGAGCCAGCTGTGTGCTCTCTTCCTGCCTGCATCTCCATATGTGAAGGAGGTTGTGTGAAGTAGGAGTAGCACAGCTTTCAACATTTCAACAGAGTATTGGGTAGTGTCCTAAACTACCTTTGTTTAAAAAAAATTTAATTATATTTGTTTCATGAAAAATAAAGTATATTACTAAACGTTGACTCCTTTTATTTTTTATTTCTTTTAGGCAGCATCTCCCTTTGTAGTTCAGGTTGGCCCTCAAACTCACTATGTAGCCCAGGCTAGCCTCAAATTGGAGGCAATCCTCCTGCCTCAGCTTCCTTACTGCTGGAATTACAGGTGTGTGCCACCGTGCCCAGCTTACTCCATTTATTTTTTTAAAAGTTTCTTAGTACATGTTTGCAGCACCTATTTAATAAAGATTAACTCAGTTCTATTTAGAAGTGAAGGTCTCTACTCAGGTACTGGTGTAACTGGGTATCTATAAGTCTAATATTATCTGTTAAGAGATTGCATCATCTTCTGTTCCACAAAGACAGTTTACTTTAAATTCGTTGATATTCTTAATGTAGAGAAATCTTTGTTTTTAAAAATATGTGCCTCCTTAGTGGTGGCCCTTTCCCTGCAGGTGGGGGCAGGGCCCTGAAGAGTCTGGTGTGAGTAGTGGAAAGGGTGTTGCCTCAGGTCCTGGTCCTGATGTGGCGCTTGTCTCCCTTGGGTTATCTCTGTCCTTCTCGGTGTCAGCAGTTATTCTCATCTATCAGCAAGAGATGCGAGCATGAAAAACAATCTGTGTTTGCAAGTTTTGTGGCTTATATTCTCTTGATATTAATGTTATAATGGGTTATTTATATTTACATGCACGTGAATGTGGCTTTATTTGTGGTTTTGCTTCTAAAAATGGCTTCACTATTGGCAAACTTTAAGAAGTTTTGTGTGGTGTGTTAAATTTATGTAGTCTCATTTACTAGATATTTGCCCTAGGAATATATTGCCAATTTAAAATTTAACAAAGATAATGCTGACCAACTAGTAATGAGTAAACACCTTTATGGGATGTAGAAAATCATTATAATAGTAAATTAGAAAACTTTAGATTCTGACCCTAGTTGTTAAAATATGCATATTACAGAAAACATTAAACAGATAACTGACAACTTCTATTGTAGAGGTAATCATAATATTTTTATATTTCCTTTTCTCAACTTATATTTATATCTCCAGTTATCCCCAAATTTTTCTTGTATATTTGTTCAAATAAAGATTCAAACAAAGCACAGGTATTTCATTTATTTTGAATCTCTTTGGGATCTTTTGAAGTAGAGTGGTCTGCCACCCCCCCATCTTTTTTTATGTTGCTGAAGAAACAAGTTCAGTTTTCTTTGAACTGCTTGACCTTGGGTAACTCTGACAGTCAGTTTGACCGTGTCCCACCCTGCCACATGAGTCCTGCAGTGTCCGGTTGTCCCCGCTGGGGAGACCACTGTGGCTCAGTGGCTGTGAGGCCTGCAGTGGGCACCGGCAGCTGGTGTGTAACACACAGTATTAAAACTATTATTTTGGTTTTTTTTTTTTCTTCTTGAAATCCTTTATTGCATGAAGTTTTTTATGTTTTTTTTAGCATTGTGTTATAATTGCATTCTTTAATTTTGATTGGCAGGTTTTCCCTGTGTTTAAAGCCTGTGTGTGCTTTGAAAGTGGGGCGGCTGTTCTCCCTTGATGCCATGTTAGCATGGGTTTGGCACTATGCTCTACGGACTCAGAGCTCACTTACAGCTGTTGCACTTACAGTTACAATTTATTGTAGGGGGAAGGTACAGATTGCAGCAGAGAAAAGGAACTATTGGGTAGGGCCTAGGCAAGTTCTCTCTGTGAAGCTTTTAGTTCCTGTCTCCCCCGGGACGTGGACAGCACTGCCGCCCATAGTACCTGGCCTCCCTGCTTATCAGCACATCCCAGAGCTTAGAGATCTTCTCAGGAGCTGAGGGCGAAAGCCAGGCCTAATTTTGGAAGGGGGTATGTGTGTGATTAAATTCATCACTGTGTAATAAAAATGTTAACATTTTACATTCTTCACTCTGTAAGTATTTAAGATTATCCATAATATTCTTTAAAAAATTTTTTTTTATTGGTGCTGAGGACGTAACTTAGGACCTTACTCATGTTAGGCTGTATCATAACCCTATCCACAATATTTTTTAAAATAAACTTTCAGAAGTGTTTTATTTTGGCCTTTGTCTTGCAAACAACACATGGCAGGATTTTTACTTTTAAAATACCATTGTGAGAACCTTTGCCTTTTAATAGAAGAATTTAAACCATTTACACTTACCATAATTAAAATTTTGTGTTTTCTTTTTCAGTTATTCTTTATTTTTCTCTTTCCTGTGTAAACCATATGTTTGGAGATCTGTGAGAAATGTTTTAAAATTCTATTATACATTGTTGTCTTCTGTTGAGAGTGACAACAGTTCAGCCCCCCATTTTCTGTGATATTTTTTCCTGATTTTAATTTAATTTGAAGTTATAGATCCAGCTTATTTCTTTACATTTTCTTTTCCCTTTCATTGTTGTTCAATTTATTTTTGTTTTTGCATTTAATTTTTTAAGTTTGAACAGCAAGGGATATTATTTGTGTCATGTTTTTGAATTCTTGAATGTTTAAAAGTATCTTCTGTCTTCATACATGAACAATTGCTGCTCTGGAAGAGAATCATTTTTTGAAGGGATTGATCCAGTGACTGTTGGTGTTATAGAGAAGAAATTCTGAGCTAATGTTCTTTTCTTTGTTGGTTATTTGTTTTTGTCTGTACCTGAATACTGTGTCAGCCTGCTTGCTTGTTGCTGTACCACGGTACTCGAGGTAAATACCTTAAAGGAGAGGTTTACTTCAGCTCACAAGGCCAAAGTTCCATCCATGGTCAGCAGGCTGTCTTGATTTTGGCCCAGTTGCTGTGCATTGCAGTGGGGGTTGTGGGGAAACAGCACTGCCCCCTTCACAGTGGTGGAAAGCAGAGAGAGAGCCAGTGAGAAGGGCCCGGAGAGGATGTGGCCTTCAGAGGCAGCGCCCTGCTTCTTGCATTGTGATTCTCAGCCTGGAGTTCCCACCACCTCTGGCAGTGCCACCCGTGGCGTGAGGGCCCGAACCTTTCACTTGGGGCCACGGGTTCAAGATATGAACTCATGCCCTGTTCTTCCTCCCGTCTGTCTTTGGTTGCTTAAAAGATGTATTTATTTATCCTTGAATTTTAAAAAGGAGGGAAGAGGGAGAGCCAGGAAGGTGAGGGGAGCAGAGGGGACAAAGGGAGGGAGGAGAAGAAGGAAGGAAGGCGCTTCTGCAGGATGTACTGAGTGCAGGTCTTGCTTTTTTTTCACTTTACCTGTCATCACCCTTGGGCATCTGTAGACCTGGAATCTCCAGTTCTGAGAACCTTTCCTCTTTCGTGTCAGGTGTGTCTGGTCCCTAATTGGCTGTGTATAAACATGTGGCTTGTGTGCATGGTGCCCAGCACCTCTCTCTCCCAGTAGGTGCTCCAGTTGCCCTGAGGTGTGGGGATATCAGTTGCTAAATGCTTGGCAGAAGAAGGAGTTACTGAAGGTGAGGACTGCAGTCTTGAATGTACATAATTTTGGAAAGATCAGAGAACGTGTCTGGCCTATGCTTTCTCTCCAGTGTCTCAGAGTTTGGGATGCAGAAAGGGCTGGGCTCTGTCACTGCCTGCCTGCGCTCAGGTTGTTGTCTTCTCTTCCCCGTGACTGAGTGGATGGCTCGGGCCAGCCCACCTCTGTTTTCATTCCATCTCTGTCAGCTAGTAAATAGCCTTGGTTGAGTATCTACAACTATTTAAGCCAGAACCTGAGAAGCAGTGTGTCTGGAATAATGTACCTGCCATCCTTAACCTCCATATTTTCAGTTTTTCCCTTTCTCAATATCCTGTAAAAACCAGACTTCCATTTTCCAACGCTGAGACTCCGCTCTTCTCTTCCAGGCCCTTGACTCCTTGGCAGCCCTGAGTCTGGGCAGCTTTGAGGTCCGCCATTGGCAGAGGTGGTCGCAGGTCCTGGTCACACTGAGGGCTCCCCAAGCCTCTGAGGGGTGCCTCTGCCCTGCCTCCTTTGCTCAGCGTCCGTTCTCTGTGCACCCTTGGGGCTCCGGCGTTCAGGTTGTGGTGCAGCTCACTCTTGTCTTCTCATGTGGCCCTCTTTAGAGCAGAGGACTTTGTGCTCCGCATGCTTCCCATCTCTGGCGTCTGCAGTGCGAGGCAGAGGGCACATCATTGCAGGGTGTGTGGCAGAACGGACCGCTGCCTCATGTCCAGCACACGGAGAAGAGACAGGGAGGCCAGGGCTCTGTAGCCCTTTTGGGTGTGTCTCAGTGTCCTCTTCCTGTCCCTGTCCTTGAGAGCAACTCTCGGAGACCCTCAGCATCCAAACTGGAGCGTGCACAGATATGGTAGAATAAAAAGTAGGAACTAGAAGTTTGTGAGACTAAATGTGGTGGCTGCTCCTCACTTGCCCTGGTCACCTGTGCAGCTGTGCAGTCCTCAGAGCCTGGCACACCTGCCAGATGAGGTCACCGTCTGCTTCAGTGCAGCCTGTGAGTGAAGAGTGGCTGTGTTTGTCAGGTTGCTGGAAGCAGAGGAAGAAGAACTGCAGTGATGGCGTGTGGCAGAGCAGTGGAGCGCTTGCCGTCTGGGTGTCCACAGCAGCCGCACAGGCACTGACTCGCGGGTGTCACAGTGTTGCCTGTGTGCCCTGCCATTCCCTGGGGCCTCACTGCTAGGCAAGTTTATATAAATGTGTGGCAGGCATTTGATCTTTTTGATGGAAATTACAAATGAGACAGACACCTCTGTTTCATTCAACTTAAGTAAAATGATCAAATAATTCCAGTGAATCTATAAGCCTGGTTTTACTTCTAGTAGTACTTTTATACATATCTTATTTTTGTTCCCAAACGGACTCAGTTTAATAGCTGCTTCACATATTTAAGTTTTAATAGGTTAGAAACAATAACAAACCTATGATCATGTACCAAGTTTCTTATTGAGTTATTCTATTTAAAAATGTTTTCAGAGAAAATAAAAGGTCAAGTTAAGCAGACATTGGGGTGTTTGGTTTAATTTTCTGGAAAGTAGGACTGCCTTTATCAGATCCCAGTCTTGGCCCTCACGCTTGGCTGGCTGCTGACAGTGGCTCTGCTGTGTGGCGGGGTGGGAGGAGCTGCTGCGTCTGCAACAAGAGCTGTAAACGGAGTGGGGATGGGCTCACCTTGCGCTGACCCCCATCTGCCATGGGTCGCGTCAGCATCACTGTGGTTGACGCCGGAGGCCGGGCCGTGTGGGGTGCAGTTTCTCACTGCCTGGCGGACCACATGTTGGCCACTTGGGAGAAGGTGCCAGGCACCCTGAGTTCTTGGGCAAGTGGGGTGTGGGGGGGTGTCAGCAGCGTTTAAATGGAGAATGTGAGCAGGTTTGCTCGCATGTTTGAAGCATGATCTGTTGGGAAATCTGTTGGGCTTGGCTTTTTAATACTTAGGCATAGTCTGCCTCCTTTCCTTAAGGTGACGGAAGTTCTTGCCCACCTAACTTTACAAGTTGAAGTTAAACATAAGCTTTGATGCATGGAAACATTCTGTGTCATTCTTGACACATCCAAATTTGAAGCATTAAAGAAATTACTTTCCCTTCACTCCTGAAATTGGCCAAGACACTTAAAAGTACAGTGGCTGTTTTTTTAACCACATGTATTTCTTATTCTTTCTAGGAATGTCTGTCTTCAACAGAGGAGCAGCCTGTTCATTTTAGAATTTCAAATAAAATTTGAATGCAGCTTTACAAGAAAAAATATTTAAGGGAACAAAATATGGGATAATTAAAAGAAGTGGAGAAATAGTTATTAGGCATTGCGAACCGGTTCCTAATGCCTTTGAGCAATGAATTTGCCAGTGATCAGGAGAAACGCGTTGAAAACCATAGAGGCCTCAGGGAGAAATGGACACACACTCACACAGGCACACTTCTGCTTTTTTTGTTTAGTAATAAATCTGTCGCCTGTGGCTCGTGGATTGTGGCACTCTGAGTCCTTTTTAAGAAAGAATGTTACTTTACTGTGTGGATGTTGGAGAATAACTAGCACTTGGTGATGTAATTGCTGTCAAGCCATAGAGTTAAGCATCTTGCGTGTAGGTTTTCATTACAGCAAATTATGGGAAATAAGAGAAATCCTGAATGTTTTAGTAGCCGGTTCTTTGGGGAGAGGAGGCCTCTTACTCTCAACTGAGTACAGTTCCCAGCTGACACAGTACGTTTATCGTTCTCATCTGAGGGCCTGAGAACGGAATCTCGGACCTCCCGAGCTGCCTGTCTGCACCGTGTGTGCGGGGTGGGGTGCGGCCCGGGCCCTGGGACTGCTCTGCTCCAGCATGCGATTTGCTTTTGGCTCTGCGACTTTGTTTAGGTTTGTGGAGCTTGGTTTTCTTATCTGTGCAGTAGAAATGGTATTGGAACATCTCATGAGTCTGCAAATGTGTATTAGACACTGCATTGCTCAGCTTCTCATCACGCTTCAGTTAAATATGTTGTGCTATTTTTATTACTTTTTATTACATCACAATTTCAAATTGAATTTATGTTTGACTATTTTGTTTGGAAAATTTTCTTCACATACATAAGTCTGATTTTCTCTGCTTAAAACCTCCCCTCTTGTGTAATTTATATATCCAGAGTCGATGTATTAGTAGATACTGCTAGATATATTTTGGGAACCTTCAGGAAATTGTTTATTGTGAGGAGAACAGAAAATATATATTGCCATGTTGTATTCTGAAGCTGAAATTACATGTTTTTGAGGCTGGTAGATTCCAAATTGTCATATTTCTGTCTTTTAAATTTTTATCTTTATTCATACCTGTTTGCAGCACGCAGTGATCACGTTGTCCTGGGCATTTGGTGCCTGGCCCAGTTCTTTTCTACCCCTTCTTCCCTACCCTCCCCTTGCAGATGTGGGACTGAGGAGGAGACCGGCTAAATAGTGGGCTCACGAGTGAGACCCAGTATCTTAGGTGTCTTAGGTCTCTCTGTGCTTTTCTCCTTTTCTTTTTTTCCATCCAGCTGGTTTCATCACTCAGTCTTGAGGGTCAGCTGATGAAAGCACATGTCTTATGTGCTATTTTAATAACGAAAAACTCTGAATAACTTAGATACTGTCTGCTGGGGACTTTGCAGAGCACTGCATGTTTATGCTCCTTTCCAGTGGTGAAAAATAATATAACTAACTATCTTTTACAGCTGTTTAAAAACATCATTTTGATGTAATATCTTCCTACCCATTCAAATGCCTGCCTGTATTTTAA